GAATGGACAGTTGGCTCAGTTAACCGTCAGTTGTATACCAAGTGTACCAAGTGGTTGAAGCACAAATTTACTGACCAGAAGGTCTGTGGTTCGAATCCGACCTCTGCCTCCCGACTTCCCCTGTCTAGGCTTGGGCGACCTGGCAGTATCCCAGCCCTCGTGCTTCCTTTGGGTGGCAAAGCAGCTAGGCACCGAAAGGGTGCTGTAGCTGAACGATAATTTTGTTTAGTCAATGGTCAATATGTTTGCTTTACGAAACACATGCAATCTCTTTTTACGATCGAATAATACAACTGTCGACCTTTGTTTCTAGATTTCAGTTCAGCCTCCAGAGTCATTCTGTCCAAGCGTAACTGCGGGTTTGAACAGCGGCACAGCGACTTGCGATGCGCCCAATTGCAAGCTTGTCTATATTTTCCCGATTTCTGGTAGTTTCACTTACAAATTTTTGTCATTTTTTACAAGCCTGACATTGTTTCGTGTCTAGTTAATAAAAACCGCTGTGCCTGGTATTCGTAAAATTGAGGTATCTAGGGTGTAGATGCAGCAGCAGGCCAATCAAAGTAATATGAACTGTTTAAAGTTGTTGTAGTCAAGCCATTGGATACGTCCATCCAATTTCACCACAGGAAAGCTGCAGCTGTTTAAGAAACAACCAAACATAGAGCCTGGGCACCGAAAAGTCGTGAACTGTCGTGATAATCATCGATCTAGACTAAATCCAAGGGTTTTCGTACTTTGTTCTCCAAAGGGTCGATCCAATTTATACTTTCTACACAACTATGGGTATAGCTGCTGAAAAAAGTCCATAGGTGGGACTGACAGTTAGTTCAGCACTGGTAAAACCATGAGGTGTGGTTTACAAAAGCGGGAAGTTTGATCTAAGTGAAAGTGTTTCGTTTGATGAATAACTTCCCAGGGTCTTCACCATACACAGATCGTATGAATGCTTTCAACCTATCTACCAGATTTTGCGCAAAATAATATGGTGTTTATATCAGTTTGATAGTTTAGTGGAGCTGTTATGAGGCCATGAAGCTCTTGGAAATTGTAAAAAGCTCGAACACATATGGACGCTTCATACATGTGTCAGACAGTGAACTGCGGATGTACCTAAGACGAGATATTGAAAAGTCGGTTGATCATCTCGATGTGAACGTCTGTGAGCTTAATCACTGGTGACACTCGGTTCATGATTTTCAACCAGCCTAATCATTTCCAGTAGCGCTTCAACATTAAAGATAAGGTAAGCGTACTCCCAAGACCAAAAGCACGAGCGGTAGCTGATCAACACGAAGGAACGCAGACTATAGCGCAAGAAAGCTCCCGAAATGGACCAACGGATTTACGGAAATCGCACTCTCTCTCAAGCAGCCGTTTACGTTAGATAACAGGGAGTCATCAACTGATAATTTCTACTCACATGGTGACGAAACATTTGCAAGTCAATTGAGAGTCTCGGCTAACAGATTAAAAACTGCCTTGTAAACAACCAATAAATTTTTCGAGGTACTGTTCTAAGACATTACCAACAAAGCCTGTCGTTCCACGCTCAAAACAACCCGTCGATGAGAGACTGTAGCTTGCGGACAAGCCTCCACACGACAACAATTCTACTTCATTAATGCCTGCTAAAACGAGTCCTTCAGCATAGTGTGACCTATCAACCATTCACAAGCTTCGATAATGGCTAGACAAAATGATCGACGGGTAATCAGATTCATGATTACGGAAGCTCACAACCGATTAGAAAATAGAGAATAGTCAATGAACATAAAGAGGTCCGCTTGAGGACAACGGGACCAGATCTCATTGAGCAACTCAGCATGGCGACAGGACGAACAGTTACGATTTTGCCAGAAACAAGAGGGATCGTCTAATGGACAAGTTCTCAAGGCTGATTAGGAGCTAGGAGTACGAAATTAATCACAAGGAAGCCCTGATAAGGGATCTATTCAAAAGGCAACTGATGGAAGCTAAAGAAAACGTTCTCATCAATGGGCTTAATTTCAACTTCGAACACACGACAAACCTTGAGTATTTATCCAACCTAGAATCGGCGATGAAATTTTATCGGCTCGACGGAAACGTTTTGCAGAAACATCGGCAGACCGCCTGCCATCAGCCTCAAAAAACCACCCAACGTGTTTTCAGCAAAAAAGGAAGCAATAAAATAGTGCAGAAGGGTGAAGCATTGTGAAACAGCAGACGCCTAATGGTGATTGTGGACAAACCGGACTACATCAATAAAGCAAAGGCACTACTTAACTACTACTATTATCATTTATTTCTGAAGAGCATGGTCAAAAACAGAAAAGTGAATGCAAGCGACGAATGCGAAAGGGTAACAGTAGAATATGAGAGAAACGAGAAAGAACGTCTCATTCGAGCTCACACCACCAACAGTTCAAGTCAGATAGGACGAATCCTAAGGTATGTAAAAAATTTCATGTGGAAACACGCGTCTAAAGATCAACAGCCGAAGAAAGGACAAACGAAGTTGAATGCACCTCAAGGCGCGGTAAGTGCTAGCACAGTCAAGACTCGCACATCAGGCACAAAGCATCCGTCATACTGGGTCTGGCGTGAGATTAATTGGCAAAAATGTACATTCAGCGCCATGTGTTATAAGTACGCAGATAGCCCAAAATGGCAAGCAAACACAAGTCACTAACTGTGACCTTAGTATGTCCCAGTCCAATAACAGCCTTGCCGGATTGAGGAAAGAGATAACAAATGATCATCGGTTGGTGGACCAGAAAGTCGACTTCACAACCGATTGCACGTAAGGTTGAGATTATGGCGAGGGAATATTCATCAACACCATACTTCTTCTGCTGCTGCTAATACTACTACTTAACTACTAATTAACTACCATCTGCCACTGCTTTGAACGCGACAAAAAGAAGCAAATAACGAACAAAATCAACAAGATTTTAAAGCAACTCGGAGATTACCACGAGATTACAAAAGAGGAATAGTAGAGAATAGGTACTCGTGATTTCGCTAATCATCGCTTCTACAGACTTCCAAAGACACATTGAAAAACAATACCCCTCCGATCAATTGTTAGCGGCTCGACGGAAACGTTTTGCAGAAACATCGGCAGACCGCCTGCCATCAGCCTCAAAAAACCACCCAACGTGTTTTCAGCAAAAAAGGAAGCAATAAAATAGTGCAGAAGGGTGAAGCATTGTGAAACAGCAGACGCCTAATGGTGATTGTGGACAAACCGGACTACATCAATAAAGCAAAGGCACTACTTAACTACTACTATTATCATTTATTTCTGAAGAGCATGGTCAAAAACAGAAAAGTGAATGCAAGCGACGAATGCGAAAGGGTAACAGTAGAATATGAGAGAAACGAGAAAGAACGTCTCATTCGAGCTCACACCACCAACAGTTCAAGTCAGATAGGACGAATCCTAAGGTATGTAAAAAATTTCATGTGGAAACACGCGTCTAAAGATCAACAGCCGAAGAAAGGACAAACGAAGTTGAATGCACCTCAAGGCGCGGTAAGTGCTAGCACAGTCAAGACTCGCACATCAGGCACAAAGCATCCGTCATACTGGGTCTGGCGTGAGATTAATTGGCAAAAATGTACATTCAGCGCCATGTGTTATAAGTACGCAGATAGCCCAAAATGGCAAGCAAACACAAGTCACTAACTGTGACCTTAGTATGTCCCAGTCCAATAACAGCCTTGCCGGATTGAGGAAAGAGATAACAAATGATCATCGGTTGGTGGACCAGAAAGTCGACTTCACAACCGATTGCACGTAAGGCTGAGATTATGGCGAGGGAATATTCATCAACACCATACTTCTTCTGCTGCTGCTAATACTACTACTTAACTACTAATTAACTACCATCTGCCACTGCTTTGAACGCGACAAAAAGAAGCAAATAACGAACAAAATCAACAAGATTTTAAAGCAACTCGGAGATTACCACGAGATTACAAAAGAGGAATAGTAGAGAATAGGTACTCGTGATTTCGCTAATCATCGCTTCTACAGACTTCCAAAGACACATTGAAAAACAATACCCCTCCGATCAATTGTGTCACACCATAGTACAGCGACCCCAGTCTTCCGACAGAACTGTTGAAAAGGTGGTAACACAGCATTAGTGGGTCCTAGCACCCAACCAACAATACGGAACAATTTTTGAAGAAAGCGAAGACTGTAGACATCAATCAAGACGAAATAATGATCTCTTTTGATGTTAGCTCCCTGTTCACGTCTGTCGACCTCGATTGTGCGTAGACGACTGTGGCCGAATTACTGGACAACAGAGACATGCCAACTGGATCTCACACATTTTAGCGGAGAATTTTATGAACAAGGACGGGGGACACCAGTGAGATGGTCAATCTCAGGATTTACTGCAGGAAGCACAATGCGAAAATTGAAGGAAGTTGTGTTGCCCGATATAAATCTCAAAATATGAATCAGCTACATGTCGACAATTTTGTGATCAGCTGCAGCGAGTGAGCCAACTAATAAACAACGTTTTCGACGACATCAAATTCACAACCGAAGAAAACAGCAGAAAACTTGTATTTATGGATGTCCTCATCACTAGATTCCTTAGTCAGCAGCTGAAAACTGAATTCTACAGAAGGGCAACGCGTGCAGACCAAATCTTGAGTTACCACAGCAACCATCGAAATTGTTGCAATCAAGGCTGTTCTTCGGATACTTTTAAATGGATCGAGACACAAAGCAGTATAACAGAATCCAACATCAAAGAAGAAATACTCCTGCGCAAATTGTTCTACGGAAACAAAAACCCGAGGAGCTTCACCTAGATATCACTCAGGAAGCCGAATACGATCGATACAATAGCGCAAAACGGAAGCAAACGAGTTACACACGTCAAGAACACCGCTGAAATGATGGCAATGCCCCTACGACAGCACAATACAACGATCGATTACAAGCCTGCTTCACTCAAGTAGTCAAGTAAGTTAGAAGACGACAGAGTCTCCAAATGCTACATAAAAGTACGCAGGCAAAGAAGAATTACCCACCCAACCGTGCACTGATGGTGTCACCTCGTATGGTAGCGAAACGTTTGCAAGTCATTTGCCACTCTCGACGAACAGAGTAACGGTCACCTGGTCAGCGACAAATGTGACATTCACTGCGTGAACTGACGGTTGTCTAATAAACCTGTCAGTGTCATAGGAGATAGCCATTGTGATACCTCTTCGCACTAGCTGAACCAGCCATTGAAAGAGCTTTAAAGTATTTTCCCAATCAGTTTTGACAGATAAAACTCTTCAATAGGAAGAGTCTTAAGCCTTAAATCTGTTTTCTATTTTAGGTGTTCTCCTCCGATGGATTTCCACGGGGACAGATTTATCAAGCAAAATGAGGATTACACATGGACAGCGACCCATTTTATCGTTCGAAAGTTATCTCAAAGTGCCCTACTGAGTTCATCTTTATGTAAATTTGGCTCATGTATTGATCACATAAGGTCGAAAAGCTCAACTACAAGCTAAAGTTTTTGACTTACCAGGTATGTTCTGTAGTACGTCTTCATCAAATTTTAGCCAAATGGAAATAACCAATACCTTGGCTTTATATGAAACGCTTGACAGAACAGTAATTTCAGTAAATGAGAATCATTCGGAATGATACCAAACTAAAGGTCCGATCTTTGTTACCGGTACTCCTAATGAGAAGGATGTGGATTATTTCCTACTTACCTCGCTCTTGTATATGCGCGGACGACAGCCGCCAGCTGTATGGAAAGAGCAGTAGTAGTGAAAAAAATAATTCCAATCTCTTCGTGGGATTACCACGCATGCTTACTAAATGCGCGCTTATACCAACGTATCATATAGGGAAAATTGGTCGGTCGTTACATTTAATTGATTTTTTTTATAGATCGCTGCCTAATTGGTCACACATTTTGCCTACTTAGCTGTCCTCTTTGTGTGAGTGCTTATAACTCATGAAGCTCCCCTAAAGAAACCGTGCTCAACCCGGACTTGTCTATTGGTTGGTTATCAAGCGGCGGTTGAGCTGGTCTAGGGCTTAAATAATGAATTGGAAGCGTTTGCTTATCAATCACGTAGAACAGCACTTTCCTCTCGATTGTTGAGGAAGACGTCACAAACAAAATATCTGGTTTTATAGACAGACCATGCAACTGATTAGCTGCCAAAGCTGACTAACTTTCCAGTTTGGAGTGCATTAGTGAAAAAATTGAAGAAACAGTCATGCTATGGCGAAAATATGTGAATCACGGGATACAAACTGTGTTTCCCAGGCCAACGATCGATTTTGTTACACGGCCTCATTTGTGGTGAATTTTCAGGAAGCTTACTGATTCAAGCCATTTCAGAGTATGGTGATGCTAAAGGGTAAAAATATGCTACCTCAAAAACCACTTGGTAGTTGACGCCGAAAATCTTCAATCTCTGCACGAGATTGGTAATGCACCTTCCTGAGGACATAAGCATAATAATTTCAGCAGGCACTGATTTTTTACCTGGTGTCTACAGTGACAGCTAAAGAAGAACGGATCAATGCCTCTTGCTATGTTTCAACCGACAAACTCTAAACTAATTATGCAAAGGAATTATTCAACACGTTGCCCCAGTAACGGAAATCACAGCTATTTGCTATTCTCAGGCCTAACTGACCCATCATAATTAATCGGTTTTGAGTGAACGGGAGAAAATTTGATTGTAGTGCGGAGCCTCCTGCTCATATAATCGTTATCACGTTTTGCTGGTTGTCCGGTTTACGTTCATGTTTGTGAATCTAACACTAATTCTGCTACCCTGGAGGAAGAACAGTCTCAGTCCCCTCGATATACGGCATCTGTGAGAAGTATACTCCGGGATTAAAAATATACGTCTATATAAAATCAACATTCCATTAACAAATGAACTGAATAAACGACGACGACATGGATTTGCGCCCTTGAATCACAGATTTAAGAACACAAATTTAATGACTTCGCTTGTACATTTGCATAACGTGTCTCCGAGCAGGACCAACTTCTACATAATTGTCACTGCATGTGTGTGATCGAAATTCTTTTAGGTATTCTGGCCCTGCCTACATGCATTGACGGCTCATCTTCGGCGAACGTACATATACTTGAATATTAGCTCAAGAGTTCAAGAATCAAGCATGCTTTTGGTTGCTGCATATGGCACAAAGTTCCCGAAATTCTTCCGAGCTAGATGCGGATGAATTGTTTTTCTTCAGCTTAATCCCTGAAGAAACTATCCCTACCGCAAATGTAAGGTGACAGGATGTTCAAAGGAACAATCCTGCATACCACAAACTGGCTACAGCACAACAACCATACTGCTCTTTTTTTAAATCCGGTTTATTTGACCAATGGGCACATGAAATATTGTAATGTTAAGACTGTAGTCGCGGTCACAACGTTACAACAACTCATAAACGCTTGGCTGCCATGATACTTGTTAAATTCGTGCAGTTTGTGAACAAAAGAAATGCCACTGCGGGACCAAAACTGATCTTAAGTGATCGACTAAGTTAATTGGTCCCAATAATCACTGCCACTTGTCACAAGGGCCTGTCGAATTGATCAGGGAAAATATTAGTGTCACCTAGCCTTTGTGTTGAAGAAAGGATGAGCGTGTGCCTCGCAGTCTTGAGAAGAACACAGTTTGTAAGTAAAAAAACTGATTTCATGAAGACGTCTACAAACCAACACAAGTTTCCTCCACTGAGGAAGTACCTCAACTGTGGTTGTGAATCTCGCGAAATTCTATCCTTGATTTCTTCGATGGCAGAACTATCCGTTTTTCATTACCGTATGACAGAGCCCTAAAATGTAGTCTACAATAAACCGAATCTGGTGAAGTGCGTCACAGTGTCATTCAGGAAAGATATATTAAACTCACGATTGTTACGAGAGCCATCTGTTCCTAGCACTTTGACTGGCTAATTATGTGTTCACCATCGATATTACTAATTGTTCCTAAACACTAAGTTAATGCTGGTGAATTATGGAAATGATGGCTACTGAATTGAACAGCTTGCGAAAGCTGTGGGCTCACTGACGAGATATTTCGTGCGTAATAAACGGGATAAAATATGACGGATTATAGCATATCACTTTCAGTCCTAAGGCTAGCTGGGGAACGTTCAAACTTTTGTTGTTGATGTGGTGGTTGGTGATCTGTTTAGCGAGCTTGACACTTGACCGGCAAATGTTTCCTCACCATACGAGGAGACATCATATGTGCATAGCTGGTTGGGGGAAACATTTGTCTCGTCTGTTAACGTTTTGTTCAGCCGAAATTTCTGGCTCCACAGAAAGGGGTAAAACGACGTTTCGTTTGTGTTGTGAGGAGACATTGGAAGATTCAGTTTTTTACTTCGTCCTTCAACTGGAGACTATCCATATCGAAAAGCCAAGAATCAATGTACTGCTGTTTCGCCCTTACTGAGAATTATCAGTGGTGCGTTCACCACAAAAATTACAGTTTTTTTTGCGACCTCATAGCAAGTAGATGACATACTTAAAGTTTCGGCTGCTGATGGCTGATCTGCAAATTGACTAACGCGTGGTGAGATTGGATAGACTGCCACTGACTGTTCAATAAAGGGATCCACATCATTGGTCGTCTGTTCGCTGGTTACTTCGGTGTCCACTTCACGGGTTAAAACTACACCCTGAGTTAATTACGAATGCACGGCAAACTGATATGACAGAACAATTTGTTCCACTTCTCATTTGACTGCTGAGACACAAGTAAACGTAGTGCATAAGATGTCTATTTAAACTCCTTTCCGACTTCTCTTATCCGTGCTTCACTGCTTCGATCATCTTATAATGAGAGGCGAAGAACAACAGGATTTTCTAATACATCATGAACTGATTGTCTCCGGGTTGGGTTCCATGTGCTTTGGCAGAGCTTACCCAAATTATTTCCCCGAAGCCTATTTTCGGTAAATTCCGGCTCCTACCATCATCCAAACATACGTTTCTTCATCTGTCAAAGAGATGTAGCACTAAATATTGCATCGGTTTAGATATCGGGAAGCCAGGGAAACCCTTATAATCGTCAGTTTAAGTTGTCTCACTGAAGTCATTCAGACATGCTTTCATAATGATCCATATTCGCCTAGAGCTTCTTACCACCGGTTTCTCTGAAAATAGAAGGACGAGGTTAAAGTTATTGGTTACTTTTGTGACAAAATGCTTTGACAATGACTTGACACTGATTTGAATGCCTTTGTAACTTAAGGCGGTTGGTGGGCCATTGAGTAAAGGGCAACCAAATTTTTCAGACTTTTCATAGGTCAGATTACCAAATTATCGCAAAGTACTTCCACGTTATTTTTATCGTTTGATTTTCATTGTGCACTTAAACGTAGATCGTGCGTAGGGGGAGTCATCAACATCATCACAGGCTAGCTGTTCACGACTGTTTCTTAGCTGATGTACAACCATTAATTATTTAGGCGACCTTTTTTGAAGAAAAGGATAAAAATGGATGGGTGGAAGGCGTCTACACCTCTAGACATTTATTCAGGCAATCTGGATAGAAAATGAACTTAAAAACGCCACTAATTTCAGTTTTCAGCCATATATTGCAGCATTCCCAACCAGGCACAGTGAAAATCATGCGGCCTCCATTCTAAAAGGTGAATAGTACGGACCGTCTCGAAATATTTCGCGATCTCATTCATAGCCCTCCCGGATCGAGGGTTAGCCACATGCTTGCTTCAACCACTCAGAAATCAGCAATCTCTTTCGCAAACGAAGATTCATCATGTGTAGTATATAGCAGACCAGCGCAGTTTCTGGTGCTAAAAACACTCGTTATTGGGAGTCCCCGCTGCGCAACTGATGTCTGCACCAGATATTTATTAGGGCTAGACGTCCTGTTTCAACTCTTGACCACTCCTAAATTTGCCAGTTGATGACAACTTAATTCTTGTTCACGAGTGAACCTGTCGGACTCAAGCGAGTCTCCAGAGATGTTTGGCATATTTTTGCATCTTAAAATGAGGATATAGTTTGCTTCCCTCAAACTAGGTAACAAAAATAACGCGGTAATCCTTAGTTCTGAGATTTCAAAGTAAAGATAGTAGAAAAATAAAGGTCAATTGTTACTGGAGCTTGCCCACTGAAGGTAAAAATTTCCAGCTTATAATGTAGGTTTTCCAAAATTCACTGTGTTACAAACCCATAAGATCTACATTTGAATGTGCAGATGATTGCCCAGAAATTAGGATATTCTAAGAAGCTAAACGTTTATACTATTCCAGTACCCATCCGGTTTCACGAACAGATTAAATAAAGTGCCAGGGATAGTACCGTGGTGCTCAAAATCCAACGGGACAACAAACTGTAAATTGTTGGCCCACAACTGAAGGGAGTTTCAAAATCATTATCAACACATATGCAAACCCCGTACTTAAGAAAATAATCAAGCAGATGTAAGCTCCATATCAAAAAGAGAAACAAAATCAACGTTTGTTCTGAGTATTCGTTATAATTCTTCATAGCCTCCAGATGGTAATTATTGGAAACCAACAATACGGGATCCTAGTGATGGTATAATATGTCCATTCGTTTGGCTACTTAAATGTCTGCAGTACCATATAATTAACAATCTGATGTGTCCACATAGTGCCAGCAACTTGTAGATCACACCTCGAGTACGGTGAAACTGAGGTTCACATAATACATTCTCACTGCATCCTAACACAGTGTTGCGTGAAATCTCGCTCAAAATGCCGTCAAGATATCCCGATCTTAAGTGGTTACAGAAATGATATGCTATTTCACTTGTAATGTGTTGCAAAAGTTCATTATGACTCGACGTAAGGCAGTCAAAAGCGACAAGATTTTAACCTAGTCAACCACCTTATTTAGCTGTTTGGTTTACTATTTTTAGGAGCGTGCCACCTTGGTGTGCTTAAATACTGAACCGTACGGATCAATTCTGAATTATTCGGAATTCGATACATCGCAAGTCTCACCTATATTTTGGACCTACACGCATGCTAAATTGATTGTGATGCGATGATTGCGCGTACCCATCAAAGCAAACTGCACCATATGTAAATCCTGAGGACTAAGACTAAGAGCTGAACACAGTGAAGTAGTGGTGATACAAGTAGTATGCTCAACATGTGGGCGGTATTTATTTGTGCATTTGAGAACAACAATGAGAGTTGAGAATCTCGGTGTGTTGGCCAACGTCCAGGTATCGGTTGATATTCCGCCATGCATAGGAACTGCTTGAAAACTTTTGATCCGCATGCAATAACGAATAATTAATGTATGGTTGTGTTATATTTCTTCTAGGCTTCCTAAAGTTCACATGATTTTTAGAGACTATATCGAACATGATTATTTTAAGTTTGGCTTGCGTGTTGTTTGACTTACCCGTTCAAAGTTTCTGTTGCATTATGATTCGTATGATTCGTGAGGGTTCGATTGGTTCATTGGATAACCTTGCTTTATTGGTCCCTCTATTTTATTCTGACTGGCTGTAGGCGCCTTTTGTCTTGGGTTTCAGTGGGGCTACTAAAGAAGCAACCATCCACGAATTTTCACAACGGGATCCCCAAAACCTGTCTGCTATCCAAACCTAATGGCACATGACCAACACAAATGGCTCGTACCACATTGGGTCCGAAACACCACTGATCAGAGTGCAACCACGTTACGCCAGAATAACGCTACACTGACCTTTGAACCATTGAGGACGGTTCGATATGCACCCCGCTGCTGAAAAGGAAGATTGGGAACTTTAAGGATGCTTGAAGTTTTATACAATATTCAGTGCAAAAATCACGACAAACACTTTGTGGGAAAAACGTCCATCATACTGCAGTGTTTCCACAACAGGCTTAGTCAGCTGTCAGCCTCACAATATGATCGGGAAGGACACGGATTCATCTACATGTCAGCCCTCATGCTAGCCCATGAAAGGACAGAAGGGAATTTAGGTCATTGAGAAGTAGTACACAATTGGTCAGTGCATTAGTGCATCACCGAGATCGACCTGGAATATCAAACCATTAAGACACATGAAATCCGAAATTATCTGACTGAAAACCGTCCAAGAATCTAGTGGGCCGGTCATCAAATGTACTAAGTGATCGCAAAACGGAAATAAATAAACGGAATCCACTAGAGCCTTAAACCAACATGACCAAAAACCACCAAATTCCATGGCTGAGTCGCAACAAAAACTGCCGTTGTTTGGAATAGATTGAGCCTCAATCTGGAAAATTAGACTGTACCGCAGCAAGTATTGACAAACTTCAATGAAATGAAAATAGTATGAATACGAGACATTCAGCTGACCAATATGATAACACAAGGCAGAACAAAAGGTAGGATGTAACACAAGCCAGCGAATAGAGAACAAATACAGAGATGTGACCCAGTTTTCGACGAAACAGACAAATGCAGGCGGTTCGGACTGGAAAATAAACCAAATATCGAACAGACCTAACTCCCTAGGAACCAAAAATTGAACGAATCTCTGTGGTGCACAAATAGCCAAGTACAATTGGAGAAAATATGCATTTGGACATGCAATCGTACTAAATTATCGTGATATTATTTTCAGAAATGAACTCTTACGATATTCCAATGTTTATGCCACCACACGACGTATTGTTTAGTAGACAAACCAAACTACTTGTACATATACACTAACACTTTTTTCAGCAACGTTGTTCGAGTTGATAGAAGCATTCCATGGCTCGATGGGAATATCAGCACTAAACTTCAGCAAGATGTGGAACACTCATCACTTACTTTTCCAGGGACGTACCGAATAAACGTTTCCGGTAGTCTGGAACAACAAGCAGAGAAATATTAGTTGTACCAGACTCCTGAACAAGTGTGATTAACACAGATATTCTATTAAATAGAGCACCACGAGACTGGCGACCACAATCATACACAAGGGATAACGGAAGGTGAGTTGGCAACAGTTGTCACCAAACCAAAAGATCAATTGCAAGAACCCCTAAGTTTATTTGCATGAGCGAAAAAACATGTGCATCTTATTTTGTAATACAGTGATACTTTCTGGGCTTTAAGTTAGCACACAAAAAACTTGTAACTAAATGGCGAAGAAAAACAATGATATCGGCTGTCTTAGCTTTGCTTTCTAGAAACTCCTGAGAGTACATGAAAGCAAACCAATATTTGAATACAGTACATCTATTGAACCTAGTTTTTACCTCGTACTGGCTGCTAACAGCTTGATTACCACTTGATTTTGCACTAGAACCCAACACACTGGACCAAAAATCTGCAGGCATAGATCAGTGTACCGTAATTCCGGCTCTCTGCGCCTTCACGGCACCTGGTGGCAACATATACTCAAATCCACTGATTTAGTTGGTATTGATATAAGTGCAAGAGACATTTTACGTCAAACTAAACTTTGTTTGCTTTTGTTGAGGGCATATGACCATTCATGGCCTGTATGTGTTGAAACCAACTAGACTGTTATGTTTGCTACATGGTTGTTAGCACTTTACAAGGACGAGAAAACTCTCAGGTTGTAATTGGCAAGGTTGCTGGTGCGGTAGATCAAACGACATCCAAATATGATATTTAAAGAAACTGTGGCAAGAATGCTGTTTCCTGAAGTTGCGATTGTTTGATTGTAATGTTTTCTGGTGAATATGTTATGGAAAAATTGTGGATCCAACACTTACAGGTTTGCTTTGCTGACAATTGTGTAGACGGTAAATCAAACTAACATTCTAGATCATGCAAAGACAATTGTTGCGGGAAGACAATGGATAAGATTGCCTCAATACGCGACCACCAATATAACAAACGCTCCTAGTCCTGCAGAATCAACCAGATGTAGGAGTTGTTATATCTCTAAGAGTACTTCTGAATGTTAATGCTGAGTGCATTTCTATGTGGATTTTCGTGTCTTTACTGATTTGCTTCGTTCCTCCCTCATTACCACAAAAGGCCCGTGCCCCTGCCATAGACTGAAATTCTTTTTTGACTGAATACGATAAGGCAGGGTGAAATAGAAAATTTTGGAATCATTAGTGTTTTGTGATATTTCCTAGGTGGGTTTTACAATGGTCAGTCAATTTTGGTTTGATCGTGAACTTCCTGGGAAACATTTGTTGGGAAATTTGCATTTCAGTGTTTTTTGGAATAAATCGCGAATTTTTTTGCAAGATTTTTAACTACAAAATTTCGTCACTTGGGATCGAAAAATAGTGCAGTCGCCTTCTCAGACTTGTACTTGCCTAATTGACCACCAATGTGTGTTGAATATCTAAAAAAAATTAAGCATATACCTCTTGAGATTGAGCAAGGAAGTGGGTTTTAAATCACCAGACATATTCAAACAAACCGCGTGATATTGTGAACATTTGCTTCCCTCGAATCATTATTCAATAACCAAAAGAATAGTTAGTCTAGAAGTGTGATCATTCATTGTAATTGCGTGTATCGTGTACGCAATATTCGACGTCTTTCACGTCTTATCTAACATCTAATGGGGAAAAGCGTCAGACAATCCATGGAAACGCAAATGTGTTAGTTGCTCAAACACTAGGCGCTTATTTGTTGCCCACTCGTGATTTAATAACTCGGAAATCGGATTGCTGCAGGGCATGAAAACATAATTGTGTGTGATTCTTGGTCTAGACAGCAGTGAGACTAATTCTAACTGCTGCTGGATAGTCCAAATGTTTAACCCGTGTTGTCGCTCATCCTTACTGAAGACCTGATGACTAAGCTGCTCAAATAAATTCTCAGCTTTACTTTCATCAGAAGGTTTTATCTATAAATCGCTGCCTATTAATAATAATATACACAATCACGTTTTCACAAGATCACAAAATTACCAGTTCATTCCTACGGTATACGGTAGCAGAACAAAACTAGGCATAAACTAATTGGAAAGATGACTGAGCCAAAGGTACGCAAATACTTGGATGTACACTTGATCATTCTTTTGAAACATCATGCCAACTACATAAACAACCCCTCAGAAAATGCCTCTAGGAAGAGTCATGCTCTTCGGGAAGCTTGAAATCTTTTCAAACGTGAGCAGTCAGCTCAGTTATGAGGGGACTAAGAGTGCTTTTAACAACTGTGGTTAGGCTTAGTCAAACGTGTGCGGTCCGTAACAAGCACTATGAAAAGTCGGAAGCATCAGCTTATACTGGTCCAGTCAGGATAACGATAAGTGATACGAAGGTTTGCTTCTAATCGGTTTGCCATGATGCAGTTACGAAGGTTGCATGTCTTTTAAGAAAGAAAATTTATCAGGTAAAACGAGACAGTCATATGGGATAAAAATACAAGGCTGCATGTGCATTAACTACGATTGCTTTCCTTCTTGCCACGTATCGAACTCAGGCTAGATAAAGCTACTTGTTGTTCCCATAGGGAATTTTACATAAAGCCATCAGAGGTTTTTGCCGCACTATAGATAATCTGCTATCCTGGGAAAAAAATCCAGCTCAGATTGGCTCCTTAGTTTATGGAACCAACGAATGTTTATCAGGCTAACATTCTGACAATGAACAAAACGTCATTCCTTCCATGCTTTGATGTTTTGATTGATTTATCACGGCGAATGCACACATATGATGGATTCCAACTTCAGCATGGGAAGTCTGTGTCTGCCCAAAATGTCCTTTTCAAAACAGTTACACGCCTCAGTGCCTTGTATACTGCTTAAAAAACAGGAGTCCGTGCCACTCGCAAGCTCAGACGAAAAGCCTTTTGGAGTTGTTCATCGGCGTTTATCCGCTTCAGTGGGTTGGAAATTTATTAGGTCCTAAGTAAAAGTGCTGTGAGTTCTCAGTGGAAAAAATTCCATGATGTTCTGTTTTATATTCTAAACTCAAGTAGACGTTCTGGTAAGTTGAAATTCTTGATAAAATTGTATCACAATATGAGAAGAATTGAGTGCGAAAATGTCATCATTCATTGTTGTTTGATGTCGTAGGATACAAACGAGTAATCAACCCGCAATGTGAGGAATGTGCATACGCATACAGTAAGCGCGTTCAGAAGTTTGTATAGATTAATTCATAATATTTAAGAGCTGACTGTTGTTACTACACCAGAAACACAAACCTAGTACAGTGTCTTTGTGTGAAGATAATGCCTTTATGAAAGCTTGTCATTTTGTTAAAAGGACCATTATATGTGCGGTGGAATTGGAGAAGTATTAGGGGGTTTCCTTTTCAAAGTTATAATAATTTCGACAGAAAGAGACATTATGTCCCGAAGTGTTTATTTCCGAAAATCGTATTGGTTACTCAGTAACATTATGTGAATCGCTCGAATTCCATGCAAGCGTAAAGGGGGTGTAAGATAGTTTTACCCAAAAGGAGAATACAAGATACGGTCCCCTTCTTTATAGGATACGAAGTGTTAGAACTTTTCTCTTCTCACATGCGCATCCGTGGGACGTGGAACAACGACATCACCCTCTCGTGAAAGCCAAACTCATTTGGTTTTTCTGCACAAGACTAATTACCCAAGGTCGCACAGGGTGGGTCAAAAGCTTGGCCATCAACTATGATCATCGTACAGCTCACACGCAACCATCCTTATGCACCACTAATTATTCACCAAAACCTTTAGTCTTCGAAGAACGTGCTGTTTTAACGCAGCGTGTTTTGTCACTAAGGAAAGCATCCCATCTCAAGCACAGGAAACATCGCGGTAGCGAAACGTCACTCAACCGATCATTAACGGCGGCTTCGTTGTCCTTGA